TTGTTGGTTGGTAGTATTTTGTGGGGCAGGGCACCCACTCCACATTGGCAGTGATGAGCAATTGGCAGTTGGCTGTTATTTTTGTATGTCCTTGTTGATGGCCGTGCTGATGGGTGCACACTTGCCATGTTATGAAGCTGTAGAAGCGTTGAGTGTATGGTGGAATACTCGTACAATAGCGTCGGCTAGCAAAAAGCGACCGTGTAGTTGGTGGCAGGACATGTGTGGCACATAAAAATGTCGCAGAGGTAGACCATGTAAGAAATTATATTGCTAGAAGCTGTTTTGCTCAATTTTTGTGAGGTTATTCCTTCTTGTTTCTTTTCCTTCATAATTATGATTTTCCGTTAAGATGAGTTTATTAAATCGCCAATAAAAGTAGTTATGTCACTAATTGAGACTTTTAGCAACCCTTTTCTCTAAAAGCCAATTGGTGTGGATATAGAATCTATTGCACTACTTTGAAAACCACTAATGTGTCCGAAAAAATGTTAACTCCTTAAAGAATTAATTTCCTACAGGGTTCTATACTTTTCGACATATATATATGTGCTCTTCGTTACACTTTGGAACCAAAAATGGCAATGTACGCGTGTATATATCTGCTGCTCTGTCGGCAAAGGATTCCTGCAATCTGTCATTACGTCAAAGCAAAAAGTAATAAATTCCTGCACAGGAACATAAAAGGATATTTTCAGTGTCAGTGTGGGTGTATGCGTAGCTACAAATATTTGTGTGTGTGTGTGTTCAGCTGACCATTCATCAGGCGCTTAATATTTTATGTGCCTTCACCATTATAGGCAGCAATAATTTATTTATATAACACTGCCATGCACACAAAGATAGTAAAGTATTTGGCAGGACAACAGCGACATCATAAACATCTAATATCTGAAGCATAATGTGCGTTATAAAGGATTTTTGTGTGCTCTATATGTATTATAAATGTGTGTGTATATGATACTCGTACGCATACTTAATATTTGTGTGTTATTGCATTTTCACTTATAGCTTGCTTGGGCTCATAAAGCAAAAGTGATTCAACTGCCCAAGCAATGTGGTGGACATACGTCCTTTTTCAATTTATATACCCAGAACAGTATATATTTAGTTTGCCATGAAGTTTGTAAGGCACAAAAAGAAACTTCGGAGCCCCTATAAATTGTATATAATATGTGATCAGCGCGACGAGTTGACTCGACCACTCAGTTTTTGAGATATCGATTTGAAATTTCCAATACTTCATTCCCACCTAAAGAAGCTGCTCATTTGTCGGAGCCGTCGATAACGAAATCTGGATGGAAATCTTTTTAATTTTACCAGATATCGTCACGAAATTTAGCACGAATTATAACTCAAGGAGACGCCATAACTTAGAAGCATATTGTTCAGATCGGATCACTATAGCGTATAGCTGCCATACAAACTGACCGATCAAAATCAAAATAAAGATATTTTTATAACCTTTCATGCTATAAGAATTTCACCTGTGAAAGGTATTATAGCTTCGGTGCAGCTACATTGAAATTTTTTTTATTTTTCGCTTTTTTCTTGCATATACTATCCTGTATTATAATTCATATTAACATTTTTAGAATGTATGTGTGTGTTTCCCATTCCATATACTTCAAACATTGTGCTTAGCAATGCCAACAGGCTTTTAATAATAATTTGAATATCGTGCATATACTTCATACTGTCATGACACATCCTTTTTTCCCTGCAAAAGCAATGCCACACGTATTAATAACACTTACAACGCATATTAAATGCCACAACATGCAACTGAAAGATGCCATAGAAGTGGACGTGGTCGAATAAGTGCATACAGTGGCGCTCATAAGCATGAGAAAAGCACTTGCGTTTATATTGTGAGCAGGTGGCACTATATAGCGGCAAGGACATGTACTTATGTATAAATGAGGATATCAAACTCATGCCACCAAATTTAATATTAAGCTAGGAGTGTCACAATCAAAGCAGTAATTCATAGACGAAAACTGGTTAGGAGCGCAGTTACACACACATATACTACTTTATATACACTATACACACATATGTGCTCTATTCCAAGCAGCAGCTTCCTGCATCCTCTCAGTGTCCAGTTATCGGTGTCAATTTAATGTGCAGCTGCTAAACGTCTGATATCTCTAGTACCGTTGCATTAAAATGCTCTTCTTTTTATTATTATTATCTTCCTACTCACATATCTATATATTTATGCTCCTTTTGCATTATTAAATCTCTAGTGTTTTCGCTCTTTGTGTCTACATACTCGCACATTAATTTTGTAATTGTAAAATATTCATAGTTACACATAAAATTTTGTCATTTAAACACAAGTGTTTATGTGAAGCATGAAAATTTTAAGTATCAATATAAGGTAGCATATTAAAATTTAAACGTTTTCCAAATTAAATTAACGAAAAAGCAAATATCGGACCATTTGATGTATATGAGGTACCAGGTAACCTCTAAAGGTCCAGTGTTTAAGCTGCCAATAGACTACTATGTTTGATGAGGCATGTAACCTTCGCAAAATTGGGTTTTTAATAAGCATAATGCTTTGTTCTTCTATAGTCCTTTCTGTGCACTTACAAATCTGGCAGAAAACCTTATTCTAATATTCCAATTCCATATTCCAAACATTTTATTATCCAGTCCACAAATACTTACAACAAAATACTTATTTACAATATGGTATAAATACACTAAACATGCAGTTTGTGGTGTTGGGAGTCGGAGTGAATTTACAGCTAGTCATTTTATTTTTCATATGACTCAACATCGTAAACGACTTGAGCTTTATGCAGGATATTCACAAAGTTGTCATTATTTTATACATTTATTAGTATTATTTTTGGACGTTGCTTTCTGGCCAACGTATTTAAAAAATATTTTATTCGAGGTAAAAACCTTAAGAGTTAAACAATTTTAGTATTTCGCATAATTAGAGAAAATTAAAAAGATTTTTAGCAAAGAAATTACATTCTACAGCTTCCTTATGAGAATCGGGATTTATTCACATGGTGCTCTAATATATTTCAAGGCTTATTTCTAAAAGTGTATTCTAAAATTATAATAATGTATGATAGTGTCCTACTATGCTAAAGTTTTTTTTGTTGCTTTTTATATTCAAAACTTTTTAGTGCAACAAAACTTTTTATGAAAATACTACGTCCAATCCACACGCCTGAAAGTAGTTTTCAAAAAGTTTAATTAACTCTCAATATTTCGTATTCTCTCGCAAATTTCACTCTTTACCACACATAAAAAATTATTAACAATCTTTAGTGAATAGCCACCCGAAGTATTAATCTACTTGTACTTACTCACATAACTAGAGTATACTCTCTTTGTACAAATGATATTAGCTGACCACATTACCGTGGCAGTGTCAACAGCTGTTCATGTGGAGAAAGTAAGCCGGTTCAAACTTAATCGAAGCTACACACATACATGAATATATATGCTTATATCTGTGCGCGTTTATATTTGGCATCATTCACTACAAAGCACATTTGTTGTGGCTTTTTGGCCTTCGGCGTTGGCATGAATAAGCAAATAAACGCTTTAGATGATATTATGCGATTTTTAAATATTAAGTAATACATTGTGAGATTTTTATTTGTTTTTGTGTTTTTTCTCTTTACTATGGCCTTTCATTTGCATTTTGCTGCGGAGATGACTTTAGTTGATTAAAAAAAACATATGTGTTATTTTTTATATAGAGTTGTCTATCCGTTAGACTAGTCTTTTTTCTCTCTTATGCTATATAAAAGGCAGCTGTGAAGAGTATTATAGCTTTGGTGATGCCGATATAACTTTTTTGCTTGTTTTCTTTTTTATTTCGTTTTCACTTTTCGTTTCCCCAAACACAATTCAGTTGTTGTTGTGAGTGAGTTTTATTACGTTAATAATTTTTGCAAATTTACATTTTTTATTTGCATTAATTTATGGAATTGGCACATTGACTGCGCTTGGCTTTTCGATGTTTCGTCATTTCTTCTTCTTACTAAATGTTTATTGAACACAGTGACATCGCTTGTTTTTGTGGGAATTTCACAAGCACGCAACTTTTCGTTTTAGCCATTTTTTTTTTCTTTTGATGTTTTGGTTAGCTATTTTGTAATTCACACCAATCCGCCACCAATAAGTTCCGTTTCAAAATTTGGTTTTTCTTTTACTCTTCTCTCTGCTTCTCATCATTAGTTTTTAAGATTTTCAAAATTGATTTTTGACTCTGCTGACCTAGATAATTTTGGTGATTATATTTATGTATTTCTTAACATAGTTTTCTGGATTTTTTTCTAAGAGTTTCACAAAAGCTCTATTCGATTTTGCTAAGCTTCTTAAGTCTCACTAATCCCGAAAATATTATCACATCCCGAACATACCTGTAAGTTCTTAAAGAAAATGCTTGAGAATATCTCTAACTATTTCGGTTTCCAAAAACTTCATCGAATCCAGAATATATCGATAAATTAAAAAAAGGCTTGAAGAAATCTGCATAAATGAAAGTACCCACAAATTTTATGAAATTCAAAAAATTTATAAAGTTAAAAAAATTATCTTTTTGGTTTTAATAACAAACAAATGTTTTGGTATTTTTTAAGAGAAACTACTTCAAGTGCACAGGTGCCTCAAGGTCCTCTCTCCTCATTTAAAAATTACTTTCTTGTACTGCAAACAGTAAACACATATTTTTAAATATTTTTGTCTAAGTAATGCACCGCCCATAAATCTTTCCCCCCTTTCTCACTCATTTAATCACATTTTCACTCAAACCGAAAGCTTACTCACTCAATTGCTTACTAATTAAACAATAAGCCTTAAAAAATCTCAGCTCACTTTCGTTAGCGCTGTGAGCGCACATGCTAAACAAATAAAGGAGCGCTGGCTCACGCTCGACATTCAATACGAAATTGCCAACAAATTACAACAGAAAATGCCGCACTCAAGTTAATTGAGAAAAAGGTGGGCAATTTTGCTGCGAGTGGCGGCAAAAGTGGCAACAACCTCAAGCCAGCTGGCACAACTTGCTAACAAATGTAAACCAAACGTGTGACGGCGCGGTCGAACAACGCAGACCAGAGCGCATGCGCAACCATCACAAGAAAATACCAGCAAATAAACGAAACAACAAAATATTTTGTGCTTGCCAGCGAAAAGACAGTGCAAAGGCACACGCGAAAAGTACTTGTAAAGAGCGAAGAAATGAAAGCAAAAGTGAAATATTAATAAAAACAAAAGCAACAACAAAAGTTAACAACAATAAGCACATTGTCTGTGAAGCGCGGTTACGTGAGCAACGTTTGCACGGTTCACTTCCGGCACGCGGGATTTTTCGCTTTTTTGGGGCATATGCTTGAATAAGTGCAGTTATTGTGTAGTACGTGTAAATAAAAGAAACCGACGGTGTAATATACGCATATTAATAAAAATAAATAAGATAAATTAAGTTTGAAGAAAGTGTTGTGGCGCGGAAAATCGCAGCATAAGCCGCTCTAGTGGGACGTTGTTTCATATTTAGTAGGCTCATAAAGCCCACATGCAAGACATGAAAGAAAAGTGAAAGATTACATATGGAAAATTGGTGCATGAAGTAGTGAAACAGTATAACGGTAAAAATAATATCAATGAAGCTAATGTATGGTTATGGGCGGCAAAATATGTTATTGTAATGCTTTGACTCATACGTGGGTTTCGGTGAAGTAATAATACCATTATGGCTGTGGGATGTTGTAACTTTTGCCGAAAATGTCAACTCTATGAAGTTATGGGCAATGAACCTCACATCTAAATGATTTACTATGCGTGCTTACCATATGTCATAAAATATTTTTTGTTAAATTAAACGTTTACCCATTTTTGACCCAAGTTATAGATTTCGACAATTTTTGAACGTAATTTTGGGCGTAGTCCATGCCACATTTCGTTAAGATATTTTGTAAAATAGAAAAGCTTTCCAAACAAGGGCTTGATTTTGGTCTGCCATTTGTATGGCAGCTATATGCTATAGTGTGCCGATATGGGCGACAAATTAGCAGCTTCTTGGAAGACTGGAAAAAGACATTTGCAAAATTTGAGATCCATATGGAATGGATTTTAAGCAACAACTAATTTTGATTTTGATGCTGATTTCAAAAACATCGAGCGTCCTGATCTCATTCGAAAAATATTGGTTTCTAAACCATCTGCTAACCCTTTAGATTAGTTTGGATTATACAGCGAATTTTTTAAGTCAGTTATATACTGGGCTCATTTAGAATAACTTCTGAAAAATATCACTAATGAATTTTGTTGGTGTTTGAGCTTACTGAAGCTCTAAGTGACTGTCAGATACTCGGTAAAGCTGACTCTTATTAAGAATTTAATCTGAGCGGTTATAATGTATAGTTTATACTCTTTCATCAAATAGTGTAAAATATTATTCTGCACGATTTAAAACATGGTTATAATGGAGGGGCCATTTCTAGTACAAAAAAAAACTCCGTAAAAAGATAAATGACACGCGACTTTATATTAATTTTATTTTTTTTCTCTTATCGGATAATTCCAACTTATTATAATAAACTAAATTTACACAAATTTAAATCCACTTACAAGTAATGCTTATATATTTTCGCGCTGCAACAGCAAAATCTGCAAATTAAAACTGAAATCGCTTTACTACTTGTAGCAGTATCTCGAGCAGTTTCGCTTTCCCCACAACAATAAAGCACTGCACATTAGTCATGCTTAAAACACCGAAAAATTACCCTAAAACAATGCGAGAGTCTCAACTCATTGCATGCGCAAACCGCAACCTGCCCAATAAACTTGAACTTGAGTGGCACAACTCAAGTTACTGCGACCCTCGCCCGTGCACACAGAGTGCTTAGCAAGCAAACAGCTCACTTGCTTAACCAAGTATGGGTTAGAGTATGCGTAAGCGCAATAAACATACACGCGTGCCTTAAATGAGTGATATTAACGGTGTTTTGTAATTCAAGCTAACGGCGCGAAACGAGTTGCGACGGAGCGACTGCGCGGTGAAAACCTTAACTCGCAGTAGCAAATGTCACGTTTAAAATTTCGCCGCAGGTGGCAACGCCAAATCGCATAACGGCATGCACTGCAAACCGGAATCACGTCTTCCAGCGGGTGTAATAAAATTTTAAATGCCCCTTTTACATTGATACTTCTTCACGTTGAATTGACAAGTGGCCGCCGACTCATACACACTAACACGCTTGGCGCCTGAGTTGTCACCGAGCTGCCACGCAGCTTGCTATGCGTTGCACGTACGCAGTTTGCATTAACAAACGAAATGCATTCGTTACTAGTCAATTTCCGGCTGTGACATGTCGTGCAACAAGCAGCAAACACACTGGCTGCAGTGCCCCAGCAGCTGTGTGGCTTCCTTCTTGCATCCTTTTTAACGATTATAGTCTAAAGTAACGTGTGTATGGGTGCTTGTGCGCGTGTGTTGCGACAAATGTGCATATTTGAGTTGAATTCTATGGCTGTGACACTCCTTTGCACTCTAAAATCTTTTGCCATGCAATGTTTGGCAAGCAGTAATTGTTGCAACAACAAGTGCAACTCGTTGCAGCTGGCCGGGCTATAACAACGCTTGCTGACATGATTGCTTCGCAGCGCTTTGTAATCGTCCTGCTTTTATTGCTGCAACATTACACGCCCTAGTGTTGCTATTTGCAACCAATATCAACCGAAGTAAGAAAACATGCTTTGCAACAACAACAACAACACCTTTGCTGCAACAAGTTCAATAATAAGTTCGGTGTGTGTGTGTGTCGCTTCAACTTGCTACCATTAAATTTTTTGCTCGCTTTACAACTGGTCCGTTACTCAAATTGTAAATCTACTTTAGTGTTGCAAGTTTTGTTACTTTGCCATATGCTGACTACACTGGCTAATAATTCTTGAGCTACTGTTTACACAACTTCGATAATGGGAGTTTAAAATATACCATTACATATGTTGCAATTGCATACGCGTCATTAAAAATGTTGCCATAACTACAATAAATACATTTATCTGATTTAATATATATATGTCTACATATTTGTAAGGAAAATATACCTCATCGACAGAATTTTTTGTATACAGACTAAAATAAAAAACTTTTTTCGAAAACTTACGGTGCATATAAAAGTAATTTTATTAAATCAAAGTTGTCTAAGGCACAGGAATAAGACAGTTTGATTTTTAGCAACTTCTCTCAGTTTGGCTTGCCAGATATAACAGTGTTTCCCAAAAAAGTAACCTATAAAACGGTTACTATTTAAATTAATATCACAACAAAGAAGAAAGGCCTACAATTGAGGGCACAATTGTTGTATGTAACTTACCTTGCTCTTATGCAAGTATTATATACATTTTTCTCAATCAAGTAAAAATTTGTCATATTGTGAATTTGATTGAGAACCAGTATATAAATGCTTGGAACCCTTAACCAAGGGCTAGGTAGATAGACTTTCAAAAAACCTTAACTATAACAATTTTTTCTAGAAGTAAGAACAAAGAAATCGGCTTTCTCGAAAACTATGTATTAGTGTATACAAAATTTTTATAATAAAATTATTTGCTTACAAAATGGCGGCTACTGAGCCACCTTCCGTACTCTCTTTTACAAGAGTGCATTGCGCATTTAGTGAAATAAATGAGATTTTATTCCATGTAACACTTGCTAGTAAGCCATAAATATTATTACTGTTACAAACAAAATTAGCTGTAAACCAGCCAAGCGTTTCCAAAAAAAATGTGAGTTCCATTTCGAAAATATACATAATTGGTTATAAAGAAATTTAGTTTCCAAATATATAACTGTATTATAATTAATTATAAGCCATTAAATAAAAAAATCAATTTCAAAGCTTCGCTTCGCTTTCACTTATATTTATTTTAAAATGTAAAAAATACATTGACAAATATATATGTATATTCTTCGACTCACACCCCATAATGGAGAGTAACTATTTCAGTATAAGTCCCGTATTCAAACTTTATACCATATTATCGAAAGTAACCAGCCTTAAGCTTTTTGAGTATCCATCTCCACAATGTCATTGCTCAATTTGAACGCTTTCTTAGATGCGCTTGTGAAGCGGATAAAAAAGGTGCGCACTTATGTAAGCAGTTGTTTGCTGAGAAATATGGTATTTACCGTTTACTGCATAGTTTTTGCTGTGTGTAAAGAAAAAATCGAAATTTGGGAAGGTCATAGTTTTGTAACCGCTTTCATATGTGAAATATGCGTAGAATTTCTTCAGATGAATCACGTGTATGTATATATTTTAAGCTGAGGAGTGTATGATTTGAATATGTTACTCATACGCCGCGGCGCCCACAAAGCCTAATACCATTTCAGCGGCAAATACATAGTTGTTTGCTTGCATTCAGATTGCTAAGTAGTTCCGGTTATCTAGTAAATTCTTTTGCTGGCTGAGAATATGTGAAAAATCGACACTTTTCACAATGTTGGAAAAAGCTTAATATACAATTGAAATGTAATTGTCAAGAGTAAAACAAACGAAACCCCCTGGAGGCCTTAGAAAAGCCGCACTGAATCGAAGAAGACAAACACTAAGCTTTTTTTGACACTTCTCGTCCTTGTCTACTTTTACTAAGTGAACTCTATCTTAAATGTAGAGGTAAGAAATTCAGTCAATCTAGTCGATTTTTATAACCATTTATGGTATTTTCAAAGCACAAATTTTTATATTTTAGTCAATAAAATATTTTAAACCCTTTGTATGAAATGTACACACTTTTTGACAATATAAAAATTATGGCAAGGATACCAAGGAATAGACAATCTACCGCCTACAAAAAGTGTGATCCGCACCATTTTCATTAAAGACAACTCACGTACAGTCAGTCACAGCACTCATAACGCAACTCAATCAACATAATTTGAATAATTTGCATGCAATAATTCCTATGACACTCGCTGTGTTACATACACACCAACAAACACACATAAACACCTCCACTTATTTTAGGCTCCATGGCTTTCATAATACTCGCATAATATTTCTACTACTTAACTGACTTCTTCATTTATTATAGCGACAACACCGCACACCGACAGCCGCTGTGGAACACCAAATCAACATAATCCGCTCAGGACGCTAAAGACGCTGCGACGGCAGCCAAGGAATGCTGTGACGCTGCATAATCAGGAAAAATTAAATTTGCGCTAAAAGCAGAGGTTGGTGGGAGTGTCCCGATATCCATAAAGCAGTGTTAGAAGCAAGTATTGCAAATACGCTGCAAGCAGACAAATAAGCGTCGGCGTAAATACGAAGCTTGCGGGTGAATTGATTAAAGTATTTATTGTCGCCGATGAGCACGTGAGAATTGTCAAGTAGCTGCCTGGAGAAAGAAAGAAAGAAAGCGTAAAATTAAGAAGGGAGTATACAGGCGAGTAGTGAAGCGAGTAGAGGAACGAGTAGAAGATCTAGTAGGGGACTCTCGAGCAGTTAAGCGAGTTGAGGAGCGACTACTGCCAATCCGTGCAACTTAAACATCAGTGCAACGTTTAGTATTTGTATATGCTATATATTTGTGCTAGGATCCCCAAGGACTCCACGCGGATAATAAGAGAAATTGCAATTTTTCCGCATTTCAAGTTATAATATACTCAAAGAGACCAAATCAAGTGCGAGCTGACAAGTCGCGAAGCATTGCGAACATACATACAAACTGAACTCAAACAGGCTTACCTCTACACCCCTTCTCGCTTGAATGGAGACAGCTTATAAGCACATTAGTTAAAGACTATCAACGCTTGTCGCAGCAACAATTGCTGCTGGCTTATGTTTATGAATTGCTGACGTTGGCAAGGTTGACATTTGCAGCAATATTTGTGCAACAACAACAACAACAAAATATTAGTAGAGAAAAGAAACTCAACTATAACATAAGCGCAGACTGCAGACAGACGACGAAGTGTGAATTGCTTTGGCGCGTGCTGCGCCGCCTCTCAAGTGTATGAGTGGGCAGCAGTTGCTGTCTGATTGCCTGGAATAATTCAAAGTCAAGTAGCGCCAAGTGTTGCCTGAGTATGTGTCTAATTTTTTATATAATATAAATTTTTTATATTTATTTTTTTTTCTTCTGGCTTTTTTTATTTTCTCAACACAGCAATTCTACACGTCTGCATAGCATAGCATAACACAACTAAGTAGCACACCATTTTTGCTATAATGTTGCACTCACCACCGAAATGTATGCAACAAATTGCAATTCTAATTATAACGTTTGCCGTCTACGTGGCGGGCATACGTAACACTGGCAGCACCGGCGATGGTGACAGCAAAGCGCAAATAGCGAGTGGCGGTGGCAACGCGGGTGCAATTGCTGATTATGAGAGGTGAGTGTTTGTGTGTGTGTGTGGACGTGCAATCAAGAGTGATGAGCGCATAATGAATAATGCGAAAAGTTGCGTGAAGAATTTATTGCTGATACTTATGGTAATACTGATTAAGGTACAAAAGCTTTTGGGTTTAATTTGAAGTTACAAATACGCAGAAGAATAGTAGTGGTTGAAAGCTACGAAAGAAATTTAAGAACGGAAATCACCAGTTTATGTTAGATATCTGCTAGTTAAAAAAAAAAATCCCTTATAAGTATATTTTTTTCTTCTAAATTTTACAACTATAAAAGATTTGAAAAGGTTATATATATTATATATATAAATATATTTTCTACTAGAAATTTATTACTTCAGCATCATTTCACTGAAAAATTATTATTTTAAAGACAACGTATTTACATACAAAACTCTCACATTTTCTTTAAAAGTTTCTAAAACTTTATTAAACCCTCAAATTACTCTACTATACTTCGCTTGCAGTTATTCGGCACCATACAATGAAGACTTTCGACCCTCTCAACTGTTATCCGAGGTAACAGAGGTAATCTCAATTGCCAACGACAAGATTGAGCGTCGCCAATCCAACGCTGATAACACCAACTTTCGACCCTCACAAATTATCTCGTTTACGACTTCCGATGCACAATCAACGCTCAAGCCATATCCGCCCAGTTATCTTGAACCCAACTATCATGCACAGCATATAAGTAAAGAAGCACCTTATGGTTTAGCCGCTTACAATAAAGACAATAAGCAATTCGCATTTCCTCGTGAAACTGAAAAGGCGCCTGTTGCCGCAGCGTTAGTCAGCAATAATGCGAATATCGAAAAGTATCTTTACAGCGGTGCTAAACAACAACAAACGACTACGCAGCAAACGCTTGTGCCCGCGCAATTACACACTACACCCATATTGATCTATCGTGACCCTTACACTAATAAGATCAACACCAGCCAAAGGCAGCAGCAACTGCAGAACTATCGTCCACCGCCACCGGAGCCGATATACCAACAAGCGCAATATGCCGAGGCAAGCAGACCGCAAGAATACACCGTGCAATCTATGTTGGTTGTGGGTGCCGAGCACTCCTCGCCCATATATAATCAACAGCGACCACAATTTGCCTTGGAGGGTGGTGATAATAAACGACCAGGATATGTATTCGACGAGCAAGTGCGGCCATCTTACAATCGCCCGGTTTATACTGGCAATCGTTATGAAGTTGACGCAACCTCACCACCGATCAGTATCGACTACAATCGACGTGATGGCGAAACGCAAACTGAACGCCCGTTCGAGGGTAAATTGGGTGTATCGCCAAGTGAAACTACCAAGATTTCCTACGATTCACATGATTACCCACCGCCCAGTTACTACAAACAGCAAACATCGAATTTCCAATCACCGCAACGACAAGACAACAAACCAAAATACCAACAGCCGCAATCAGCATATGTAACGCAGACGACACCTACAGCGACAGCCATTAAGACGGGCAGACCAGAGTTGACGTCTTCTAATTATGCAAACAAGTTTGGTAATTATTTGCAAGGCGGTAAAGGTGGTGATGGTGGCTATTATAAGCGCCCACCGCCACATTACAGCAATGACATTTTGTATGTAACGCCAGCGCCACCAACAGCACCCGCACGGCCACCAATATCTGTACACCCAGGCGCAACTTACTTTCCGCAAGGCAATGAGCCGATAAGACGTCCACCAAACTACGACAATAATTACAATCAGTATCAATTGGGCGAAATACCGCCACCACAAACATTGCAGTCAGCATTGAGTAGCGGACCAAGACCACCACCACAGCAATACCCAACACCACAACTCTACCCATCCGGACCAAATTACCAGCCATCGCAAAGCTTTCCACCTTCACAGAATTACGCACCTTCCGAAAACTATGCACCTTCACAGAGCTACCCACCTCCACACCAATACCCGCCGCCTCCCAGTTATCGTCCACCACCACCGCAGTATCAGCGTCCTCAGCAGCCTACAACTGGTGGTGCTGGTATGGGCGGTTTGGCCACCTTAGCCTCATTCTTTACCAGCACACAACAATACGCACCACAGTTCACTAATCTGCTCTTGGGCGGCAATGGTGGTGGTGGTGGACTGCTGCATGCTTTAACTGGTACTCGGCCGCTCGCTGGAGGTGGACGTCCACCGAACATGCAACTCATAAAAGCTTTGGAGAATATTGCACGCAATGATGACTTGGAATGTGTGCCGAAGGTGCTGTGCAATATGATTGCTAGTCAAACACAACGTGGACAATTGCCCGGCTTCGTCACATCGCCGGCGATAACGAAGTAAGTAAATATATGTATATATAGAGAAGAAGACACAAGAGATGGAGAGACGTGTGCAGGTATGACAGCATACTTGTAAGAAAGTTGTGTCTGTGGAGAGAGTAATTCAATTTTAATGTTACGGGGTATTAACACTAATGCCGTGCAGTGATTGCTTTTGAATTCAAAGCTTACCGGAGTCCAAATTGAACGGCACATACCCGAAATATTGTTCTTCATTTAATATTTACATTAAATTGCTGGATTTTCTCGCATACCATAAACTTATGTACTTAATGCAATTTCTTGTCTTTGGCTTGCAGTTTCCTTGCCGGTTTTCCTGCTCAATCACCTGCGCTCATTTATGGACGTGCCGCTTTGCTGGGCATCAGCGGTGGTGAGCGCAGTTGTACGCAGACCTATGCGAAGTGTCCGAAGAATGAGGTAAGTGTTATATAATTTGGAGTTGTTCAAAGGTTTCTACATATTTTATGTATAAGTCTTGAGTATGCCGGCTTCTTAGACAAAAGCTTTTTATCAGGTTCACATTGTTAACTAGCAATTGAAATTTGCCTAAGATTAAAAAGATTACGAACCCCAAGATATGAAGTGAAGAAACGAAAAAAGATATTCTGTGCAATAATATCCATCAGTTCCAGCTTCAACAAGATAACAAGAAGCATAACTCCTTAAACAACCAAAAATACATTTATATATGCATTACTTTTCTCAGGCATTAAATAATTACCATTTCCAATTTTCCTCTAGTACGAGATTCTCTATTACCTTAACAACCATCGTGGTGGCTTCTTCAAATTCTTCAGCGAAGCGGAAGAGCAAAAACCCAGCGCCGCACAACAAACACAAAGCTCAAGTAGTTCGGCTGGTACATCGCTTTTCAGTCTACTGTCAGCACTAACAGGTGCCAATGCACCAGTGACCACAACAACACCACGTCCAACACCGCCACCAACTGTTGCCAGTTTCGATATTACACAAGGCATTGGCAATTTCTTCAGCAATATACTTTCCGAATATATTAGCGGTGTAGAATATCAACGCAGAAGCAGTCGTGCTAAGCGCGCCATTAGTTTTGATGATGAAAGACCGAAAAGTGAAGAAGAACGCTTAAAATTTCCAACAGAGGCAGATTCGCAAGATTTTCATGATGAAGAAGATGATGAGGATACACAAGGCGGCGTGGACTTTGATGATGATGAGCATACAAATGAAGCGAATGACAGCGCTGAGTATGGTGATACGCAAGGACGTGTAGTGTTCAAAAGTGGCGAACACGACACACATTTCTTTCCAGAAAATGAAGCACGTGAAATTGACGAGCGCCTGAAGGATATATATTTGCAGGAAGTGATCAACAAGTTCAACGCGGTAAAATCAGAGAGAAAGCTCAAGTTCCCCGCTGAAACAGATTCTAAAGTCGAAGCGAGTGAGGCGTACGATGAGGCTCTGCATGCAGGCGTCCAAAACTACGGTTATGAAAACGGAGGTCCCGCTAGCGTTGTAAATTTTCGTGACGTCGAAAATCCAAGTGGCTCAGGGTACTACAACGTAGAGCAAACTAGACCCACACGACGTGGCAAAGCTGTGGTTTTCGAAAACACCAACCACGACTACAATTATACGCCGTTACGTCAACAACGTGAGGAGTACGACGTTACTTATGAATCCCAAAGTGGCAGCCACGTAATATTTCCCGATCACTACGAAAAACATATACGCAAGGGTAAAATTTTGAACAAACCCATATTATATGCCTCCAATTACGACGACTATATGCAAAATGCGGAGGCTGATCGTTTTGTTGTGTCCGATAGTCACCGGCCGGAGTATAATAGTAACGCTAATAATGAAGATAACAGTGTGAACTATGATGACAAACCCTTGGGTCCAATCTATATTACTGCTACCTCATCACAGCAACAAAATACGCTAAGTAACACGAACGTGCAAGTGTACAACGATAATAGATTGCACTACAATCGTGGCGCCGATACTTACACGCCCTCAAGACCTACCTCCTCCTATGGCTTACACACTTCGTCAGCTGATTACAATAGCAATCGTTACTCGGCGGCCAGCAGTTCTGCCAACCATAAGAGGCGTCCTTACTCAAGTAATAACTATGATTACCCAAATAAAAATTATGTTAGCAATAACCGTTATGGCAGTCGGTATCAGACGACACGCTATACAACAACAACGCGTTCACCACGTGGCAGCGATAATGACCACAATATTTATGTAACAAATGCTCAGGGTGTCACCACGCATTACATAACGCCAAATGGTCGCAAGGTGTATTTATAAATAGTATATTTTAATTAAACCCTACTAAACTGTTAAGAATTAATTATAGAGTTTTAAGCTTGGCTTATTAACTTAACCAATAAGAGGCATAAATATATATATATTTTATATTTTAAGGAATTTGAAATCGTCTTTGGTATCTAAATAACGAAATTATATAGTAATATAATATATGTAATTAAATACTAAATTATTTCTTAAGCACTCAGGTTGAGTTGCTCTTTGTACTATGGGCTTTACTTATAATAGTTTTGTAAAAAAGTATCTGTTTAGTAACATTGCACTATTTATTTAAAACAATAAAAATTATATAAAAATAAAAAAAATTAATATTTTAAATAATAGGTAAAACTAAATACATTAATAATTGGCAAAAGACTTGTACGATCGTATTTTACAGGCTTCTTTTGAGGTGAATTTTTCACCAACAAAATAATTCGCCATAGATAGAAGCGAATAGTAATCACTTGGTGCGGGGCGCGATCTATAAGGCGAATGTAGAAGAAACTCTAAACCAAGCGTTGAGACTTGGCGTTGTCCTGATGGTTCACAATTCCTCTCCTCTTCGCCAAAGCTGGTCGCTTCTAATCGATTGCCACAACTACGACCAGTTTCGCTTGAAGTTGTCATAAGTGACCCACTTCTCATCACTAATAATCATCCGCTTCAGAAATATACCGCTTTGTTGCGATTTAGATTCCCTGATCCATGAGGTTGTTTTACGTTGACTCGTGTGCCGCTCTTACATCGAGCTTCGCTTTCTATCCAGCCTTATTTAAATGGTTCCAAACGCCTTTATTTTTTTATCAGGATAAGAAGCACTATTTACATTTTGAGCCGCCTGGCCTGCGCTTACCTTACATATGCCATTTTTTAAATTTCAGGCTCTCTTCTATATATTGTTTTCAAAAAATTTTATTCTTCATACATTCTTTTGGAAAAAGGGGGAACTATCGATTTGATCCTAAAATGTATTTGCAACCTATAATACATATTAAATGAAACAGTCGCTTTTTCTAAATACTCCAAAATTCACACAACCTAATAATGAATTTGCAAATATCCATTATTATGATGCCTAAAACTATGCAGAAACGATGCCAAGTTTACTTTAGTGGAAAATTGTGCTGATCGCCGTAGTCTACTTTTAGGCCTCACAGTCATTTTCACGATCACAGTTGTATCCCCAAAATTAAAATAATTAATCGGTTTGCATAAAATAAAAATAGAAACTTCATAATATATTTATATCATTTACACAGCGTTCAAAAAATAAATATAAAAATTAATTTGGGGTTTTGAGATGCTTCACAAAAAACCTGCACACTGTTAAAATGATAAAGTTGTACTTGTATAAAGAGGGTTTACTGAAGACAGCTGCTTCACAGCAAAAATAATCATGTTTGCATACTGCAAGATCAATGATCCGAAACATAGGAGCAGACTCTTTACTTAATGGAAACTAGCAAACCTGATCTTACTCGCCTCAAATTATAGGTTTTTATAAGTAGAAAAAACACTTTCAAAGTTGTGATTAATAATAAATATAAACTACATTTTCAAATAAAAATCGATTGGTAATTATATATTGTATATCGGGTAATAATTTTATAAATAACTTTATTTTGTAAAATTTAGTACAATGGAATTGACTTAGTTTAAACAATTAATACTAAATTATTTCATAAAAAGGTGAAATGTAAATTAATGAAAAATTTACTAATGTTACTAGATACATTTGTATAGACTTATGTGTTCTCACAACTATGGAATTAAAGATGAAATTCGATATAGCAGACACACGAAAGGGTTCAATGAAAGAAGACAAAATGAAAACAATCAAAAGATGTCTAAAAATACGTACATAAAACCAGCGCAATAGAAAAAAACGATGCATTTTATTAAACTCATTTTTCAAAAAATTAAAAAACAAATTACAGCAAACAACTTGAGGTGAGAGTAAAGCAGCAGAACAAACGAAGCTGAGGGGCTTTTAAATATTTTCTAAGATTTTAAAAACACCCTTTCTATGAATGTCTCTCTGAATTTGAGGTATTACTATAATCGAAATATAAAAAATATAAGAAATAGGCATCCAAACATCAAATCGAACTGATCAGGTTGATGAAATTGAGTCGTTATTTTATCAGTATAAATTTAGGTAGTATTTTTGTTGAACGCGGCAACCCTAAGTAAAACACGAATGCCTACTTAGTTAACTAGACTGCTGTCATAATAATTTCCACTTTCATTGTTAAGAGCTTTTGCGTTAAAGAATTTTTGTATTGCTTTTTTTTTGAATTATGCAATATAATATAAAATATGGCAACTCTGTCTGCATCACGTCGCATATAATATAACGTTGTAATACTACCACCGCGCTTTAATGTGTAAGTAAATATAGACTGCGACACTACCACGTACAACTCTCTACTATACGTAACAATTCAATGATAGTACTTCATACTACTACTACTACTACTATAAATATATGTGCGTATATGTATATAAATACATATGTAAGTGTATCTTGCACAAAAAATATTGTTTTAAGTGGATACAAGCATTCACTCTGCTCATCTGTCTCCTTGCTGCCCACTTTTGTATGTGTACACATTTGTTTAATTTATTCGCCATAATTATTTACATTCCACTTTTGAAGACTACACATGTTGTAATGAATATACATATGTGCATACATGTATTACAGTATGTATATACATACATGCATATATACAGCTTGTAAACGCTCCAGTGTCAGTAGCAGCAGAAATGAAGTGCAAGTGTACTCCATTAAAGCTGCCACAAAAGCGACGCTATAAGCGAGCTTCTGCTGGCACACACCTCAATCACAGCTAGATTTTAAATGAGGTTTGGGTTGATGTAAAACTGTTATGCTGACCAAAGCTTGCGGCAAGCAGCTACCCAGCAGGAAAACTATGAAGTATTTAGAAATAATAAGAGCATAATTTCATTTCCATTTAAGTGTAAACAAGAAACACGATTTCGATTGGTCAGCTTTATATGGCAGCTATATGCTATAGTGGTCCGATATAAATAATATATTCGGAGAATGAAGAAGAAAGTTTGTGAAAATATCTACGCAAATAAAAAAAATTTGCATACCAGAACTTGATTTTTGATCAGTCAGTTTATATGGCAGCTATATGATATATTGAACCGTTATGATTCCGGCAAATGAGTACCTTCTTGGGGGAAAAAACATATACAAATTTTCGGATCGATACCTCAAAAACTGAAAGACTATTTGGCGTATATACGGACAAACAGACAAACATGACTAAATTGACTCAGCTCCTCACCCTTATAGGGTCTCCGGGTTTGGGTGTTGCAACTTCTTGGCAAACTTAATATTATTATTTAAAAAATTTTGAATATTGCTATCAATTTCTTACAAGGTATAAACTTAATAAACATATGCACGCACATATAACAAGAATATAATATTTGCGTCTGTCGCTTGCATTTCGTTCCATTTCGTTCTCTCAACGCTTCAGCGCTTCGTTGATTGCTGCAATTTTTCCTCGAATACATGCATATGTCCAAGTATATATACATTACACTACAAGTACAACGCGCTTGTCATGACAATTGCGTTGGTATGAAAATTAAAAACTTTGGTAAACATGCAAAACAAATGCGCTGAATGCGAAAAGGTAATAAAAAGCAGAAAAGAAAAAGGTAAAAGGAAGTAAAAAGTACTAAAAAATTACAAAGGGTCACAGGCGGGATGTGTCTGCTCACATGATGCCACAATGACTGAGTGGGATGATGTGTGTATGTGTTATGTACCGTTATGCGCTGACTTTCGTTTGGCAGTAAGTAATGCAAAGAAATGTATAAATATGTACAAATTAATATGTGTATGAGCTTGTTAGCTATTTTGTGCCACGGTCGAGGTTTGTGGCGCATACGCCGCACCAAAGCGCAGCCAACTTGCTACCAACGTTGCGAGTACCAGCGTTGCGCTCACTAGAACTCGTTGCTGTTTTGACATTACTTTGGTCTGTGCTTGGCCACTGGGACGTGTTTGATGCTTAGCGCGGCTGTGGCGGCGGCAATGGTCCAACGCCTGGACATGGCATTCGTTTGGCCAGGTGCCGGCAGAGTGGCACATCGCGCACGGCATCACCGATGAAGAGTGAGAGCAGGTACCATTGTTTCATGCCGGTTGATTGAACTTTGTAGTTCCTGCAATAGCGAGAGAAGACCAGAAAACAAAGAGCATTAAAAAAAATTAAATACACTAATATATAGATGCATATATATATATATAAAGAGAGAGAGAGAGAGCGCGTGAGTGGGTGAATAAAATATTACAAAAGCACGGCAATGAGCATAAAAGCAAATAAATGTTGAAACAAAAGGAAATTAAGCAGAACATCGCTTTTTAAGCGCACAAACGCAATAAAGTGGGTAAATATATTTATATAGAGCAAAAAAAAGGAAAATATTTAAATATAAAAATACAAAAGCTGTCTATTTAAATGGCAAACATTCACTCAGCAAACAAAATGGCATGGCAATGAAAAAGTACAGTGCATATTTTAAAAGCACTAAAAAAAATGGAGGAGATTAAAAAATAATAACTTCTGAGTAGCAGCTAAGGCCGTAATAATAAAACAGTAGCAAAAACACAAAAACTCGCGCATCATAGCTACATAAGTGACTGACGACTGTGAATACAGAGCAGTTTTTGTTGTTAAAGGAGGAAGGGCTCGAGAAAAAATGGCAGTGACTCATAAAATGCCGCAGCATAATACAAAGCGAGTAGCTTACACAGGCTAACGGCACAAATGCAAAGCTGCTGTTGTACCTTTGGCGTTTTAGCTACTTATGAGCATTTTAAATAAGAAGGCTTACATATTTATACATTATCAAAAAAAGTAGCGCTTTGCGTACAGACGGCTACAACAAAGCAAATGTCTGCCTTGCTTTTGCTGAAATTTAATTTTTGATAATTTTTAATATTTAAATCCTTTTATTTATTAGCTGTATTGCAAGTAATTCAATTTGATGGTAGCTGAAAGCTTATGAGAGCTTTCAAATATAAGTTTTTACTAAAATGTATACACGATCGGATCGAACGATTAGCTTAAGTCCAGTTATATAAGAAGCGAAGAGACCTAACCTAAAACCCTGACACTATAACATGCTTTTAGGCGCTTTGACTTCCTCGATTTTGTCAGTTATCATTTGCTCATAAGGTTAGGTCAGTCAAGAATTTTCAAAAAATCTAAAACTTTTTATTTGCTTGAAGTACGATTTAGGCTCCCTTAAAAAAGTATGCAATGGTTAAAATAAAATATATATAACGTTAATGTACTGGTCTAATAACCAGAAAATAGTCGATTTTCTTGTACAGTGTATTGGCCTTCTGAGAGCAAATATGACGCCTAAGTGTAGGCAGTAATTTATATAATAAATTTGTTGAATAGCAATAGAGTATATTTTAAATAAAAATAAAGCTACAAATTAATACCTAAACTAATCTATAGAAAAATTTGCTACTGATGTGCTAAGAGGTGCTTTGAGGTGTCCTGATTACGAATTTGAGTTAAAAAATTTTCCATCACGTAGTCTAGTTTTGAAATTTTATTAAATGTTGTCGGTTTCACCCCTACACCCCTTAACTACAACAAAAAGTAATACGTGTTATAACATTTTTATTATCATTTTCGGTTTTAGCAACCTAAAATTAACAAAAAACAGCTACTAACATCACAATCACAAAATGACTATAAACTAAAGTTATTAAAGACATTTCCAGATGAGGAGACGTAAATATGAAAATAAGTAACACTTCAATGAGATTTTGTGCACCTTACCGATTCTACACATATTGTTAAGGCTATTAGTGTATAACAAGAAGATAATATGCTTATATTGCTCAGTAACAGTATTTCTCAATATTTTTCTTAAATTTGCACAAGCACTGCCAGTACTGATGATTCATTCCAAAAAAAGCTCAAAGGGGTTACATTAGCACACAAATTATTTCAACACAAAATGACCACAAAGTGGACTACAGAGATGCCAGCTACAAAAAATGTCCAAAATATTCAAAAGAATATTCTGAAAAGCAAAGTACAATGTAATGGCGCAAACTCGCCGCAAAAGTGTGCACAACTGTCGTAAATTTGCGCAATGCAACGTCCACACACACAACCAAACATGTACGCATATCTATTTTTAATTTCATGCAATGGCTTTGGCAGTGCGTCAGACTAGTGTGAGACTGACGCTTTAATTTCGCTGGTCAAATGGAATTTATTTGCGCAAACTTTTACAATCACAAATTTGCTACAAAGAAATTATGCAAAAGAAGAAGTGATGTGCTCGAGTATTACTATATGTGTGCGCTTGCGGTAGTGAGTAGTTGCAATGCAAGACAAATTGCGAAAGTTGTAGAAAAGTTCAAGCAAATACAATTTGTGTGCGGCCAAGTGCTTGACAAATTTTTACGCAGCTGCACCAAGTGTTTAACAACTCTATTTTTGCGTAGTTTTGCAAAAAACTAACAATATACTTAAATATATAATAATTTTCCTTTATACAATTTTTACTATTTTTACTTTTTTTTATTTGTAATTTTATTCTTTTCATTTTATTTTCTATAATTTTTTCCTCACACAGTCGTCCATTTTGCGCTCCTCCCCACCTCTTTTGCGCGCGTGACTAAGAGAAATTCACTGTTGTTCCGTTATTGTTTGGTTATTTTATTATGTCATTCGTTTGTTTATCGACTGGGAAAATCTCGCAGGAAAACTTACTAATTTATTCCGTACACAAAAACACACGCAAATACAGCAATACTAACACATGCACACCCTTCAAAACCAACGCACTCAAGCACTACACCACCGCCGAACGTGTTGACAAAGGTCAGTGGCGTTTGTTATTATTGTCCACAATGGTAGCATACTTTTAGGGTAACAAAGCAACCATACGCAATGGCATTTACTTCAAGCAGCTCAAGGCAGCGGCGACATGGCGTATGAGTGACGCACATTTCGTAAACATTGCGTCTGCGATATTTTACGAGCGCTGGCGTCATTAGTGCAACAGACAGAGTTTGAAAAATAAAAAAATTAAAACAAATAAAAAAGTCAAAGGTTTCGTGTTAAAAAAACAAAAATAATAAAAAACAAGCACCTACAACGCAAGTTTTCAGCACTTAATTTCTACATAGAATTTGTTTTTGTGTGTTTTATCAATTTTTTTTCCCTTTTTTGCCTTACTCATTACGCTGCAACAACTTGCAACATTATGAAAAGTCATTTAGCTTCTCAGCGCAGATTTTATTTGCGAATTTTCAATGACTTCAACTTGCCATTTTTAGCATTATTTGCTCTTTCACTTGCAAATGAATTGAATGTGTTGTAATGAATAACAGTAAAAGTTGAATTTAGCAGTGCAAAGTACTTTTGCAAAAGTCAATTACCGGAAAGTTAAGATTACGCGTTGAATTAGGGTTGCCAATCGACGAGAAAAAAGCAAAATTAACTGAAGTTAGAAAGGCAATTGAAGAAAATTATTATTTTCATGGAAATTATATAACTCTAAAGCAAAATTGAAGCCTACTTATACAACTGATGGAGGAAGTTGTTATTGAAGCATTTTTAAGGAATCAAATTATTTTAATCGATACTAAATTAACTAAATAGTAGTTTTCGAGAGACTGGTTTTCACAAAAAAGGAAAAGGATGTTCGACGCATAACCTTGAAAGATTATTTATAATCGAATATTGCCATAAGAGATCTCTGAACTTCCAGGATATATATTAAAAGCATCGATTCTGCAGCCCAGTAGAAAAGTGTTTCCCTGCAATCATATTCAAAAACAGCATGGGTATGCTAAAGACCTCACGCAGCTGGAGTTCGTATTTGCCATAATGTTACACTTAAATTTAATAGAGAAATTTCTTGATTTTTGCTCGATATGGTATGTAAAAAAAAGCATAAGGGGTCACTTTTCAATGTAGGTGGTGCACAGAAGTTACTAGAAGTCTTCGTATTACTCTTGTATCCATAGAGGTGAGACACAAAAGAGAGCAGAAGGTATTTTACACATTCCTTACACTATAGATAGGGCTTAGAACCTATCAGAAATACCTTTTTTAATCCTTTTATCAAAATTGATTGCCACAGTTGGAAAAAGTAGCCACTCTTTACCACTCTTAATTACACTGCGAAGATTTTTTAACTATTGTACATTCTAGCCTATGATGACAAAATTTAAACTTAGAACTGCCCCGTCGATCGGCTCAATATGAAAAGTTATTTTTTCTCCTTCCACCATTATGCCATCATCATCATAATTAAAATAGCGAAAGGTAACAAGTCATAATTTTTGTTGTAAGGGCTTTCGCATATAGCATTGTCAAAACTACTGCTGGTAACTAACTTATAAGAAGCCAGAGCTACCTTTCTAGATATTTAAGACTTTGTTAAACCCCAACTGACGGCCGTTTCAGCGGTGTTAGATTGCATGATGGTAGAAAATCAAAACAAAAATTGCTAAAAGCAAGCGGTCTACCCAAATCAAGCGAAAAGCAGTATATACCATGAAAATTACCCCATTCGCATTTTATATAAAAAACAAATCTGCATGACAATTTTAGTCTTCTTTTGGAGAAGTTATCAGCCACTATGAGGTAGCGCTGCCCCATATTTTATATATATCTATTTCTTCCGCTATTGTGGCAACCCTAAACGATTTATATTGAACTGCTCTAATTCCTTTCATTCAAGTACTAGTAAGCTGCTGCGGCAGCCACTTCAATTTGGCGCATGAGAATTCCGCCCATTTAGAGTTCAATCAAGTTTGCGCAAATTGAAATAACCGATTTCGGTTAGTGACGCAATGACATGCACTTTGCCAATTTATAACATTTTTCATTTGCGTCTTATTCTTATTTCTCCAATGAGCACATATACTTTTTTCAGTTCCTGCTTGCGCTGCTAGACTAGAACGCATGTGCTGTTGTTGTTGCTGTTGACGTCGTCAGCATGCTGGAAAAGGTAGCAAAAACGATTACGTTTTGCGAACAAGACATTAAATTATGCACAGATGAGTTAGCAATTCGCAAATAAAAACTTGATTTCGTGTCTGATTGGATTGGAAGACACGCATTCGCCTCAGATGGCGCTGCACTAACAGAGTCATTTAGACAAAATGACAAGTGCAGAAAACTTAATTTGGCAAAGCAAGAAGCTGGTATGGCAAAGTAGCTAAGTAGTGGAATAGAATATAATAACAAACAGTTAGATAGGATGTTTGAAGATAAGAGTAGCGGTTAGTGACTAAAGCGTAGAACTTAATTAGTGCAATAAAAATTATATGTATGTATATAAGAATTAAACGGAAGGTGTGAAAAGAAAAAATTGAGAAATACGATTTTCAAATAATAAATTTTTAGGAATTTAATTAAATTTTATAGTCTTAATTAATATATCCATTAACTTTCGACACTTTCAAATTTCATTTATACGAATATTTTCTATACATAAATTGATAACCAAATCAGTGAAATCCCAACATACTCTATAATTAAGACAACATATTAGACTATTATTATGAGTCCTGTTCAAATGTCGCAGAGTAATTCAGAGTCAGGCTTGATTCTCCATGACTTAAGCCATAAGGAATGTATTCAAGCGTACACTATATTCGAAAAGACTGGACTAGAAGTTCTAAAAGCAAGTAAGATATCTGCTCATTGGCAGAGGCAAAGTAAAAATTTCCACGTGATTCTGAAACCGTCATGTTTCTTGGCAAGAGAAAAAATATCTTTCAGCGATAGCTGGTTTCGATAAGCTAAACTTTCGATTTTTAGCAAAGCAAGAAGACTTGACATAGGCGGAACGACAACAACCGACAAAAGGCTCTTTTAGTGGCAATGTATTCTTAAGTGTCGTGGTTGGTCACTGATGTTAGCAAATGATCATCAGAGATACACGACCATTGACTTATAGATTTTCCTTGAATTGGGTTTCGACTTCCTCGACAGAATGGCATGAATTTTCGATTAAATGTAATTTAAGGAATATACCATGACCTTGAAGTCAAAGTAATAAATATTACGGCTCAAAGCTAGCAGAATCCGTTAGAAAGAGTCCTTAAAAATTACACTTCAGACCACGACGAGTAGTTGTATTGAAGATACAAAAGGTAAGTCTGCATATGTATTGATTTCGTTCAACGTGAATTTTCATAGTAAGTGCTAGCTAAATCTTTCCAATCCTAGTCCTTAAAATGTCTCCAAATTGTTGCAATCTATTCATTTCACTGGTACAACTCAAGAAACCTTCAAGGAGTACACCAAAGCCATTCATTTCTATACTTACTGAAGACTCGCTCAAACATTTACTTGTAACATACCTCAAAATTTCATTCCATGCTGGATGTTGTTGCACACCGAAACGACCCGGCCGTGACGCATGTAGCCGGCAAGGTTCCTCCAATATGCAAGCGCGTGGACCGAACTCACGTAAGATCTCTTTTTGTGCCAATTCAGCATCGTAAGCGGCCGATGTAGCGGTCTCACGTTTGCTGCGCGCGCGATAGGTATCTAAAGTAGATAAAAAGATGAAAATAAATAAAGCACATACAATTTTAAACTGCTGAAGTAGACGTGGTTGAAGTGGAAAAAGTAAATATGAAAGTTATAGGTGTCGTAGCGGCAGTAAACGGTAGCTGATCGCTTGGCTGGTCATAATGCCCTTTTTTACGGAAATTCCTCAACTTCAAATATATAAGAGATCTACTAAATTATTATTTTTTGATTTTGTTAAGAAATTTTGATACATTAACACTTATTTTTTTATTAATATATATAAACATATATACATTTTAAACTCTAATATATATATATTAATTTTTTTCTCTTATCTAAAATTTTCTTTAACTCAAATTTTTTTTATTTTTTTTTAAAAAGTACTAAAATCATATTTACACACAAGTAATCGATCCAACCACTTCTTACAACCAAACTCAAATCAAATATCCAAAATTGCCAGCACCAACAAATACAAACTTTAAATTAGCTAATTTTATATTCAAACAGTTGACTGGCCCTCAATAGTGTCAAGCAACACGCTAGCACTCAATGCAGCCTAAACTCGAAAAACCAGATCAATTTTCATCGGCACCAGCGCGCATATGAAATGAGTTCGTACTTCACCTGTAAAATGCTTAACCAAACTACTTGGAGTTGAGTTAGTTACTAAAGTCACTCACTGACTTAAGTATTTGGCCAGTCATGCACTGCAGAGCACTTGCTACCTTGACCTCATTCGAGACGACTAAACATTTTACTCAACAACTCAATTCAACGTACGCATGCGCAATATGGCCTACAATAACAATAGCAACGACAGCAGATCATACATAAGTGTGCAATTATTTATATGTAACTACTGTAATTGCACAAACAAGAGCCGCCGAACAACATCGCATGTCTTCACATTTGGTGACATTATGCCATTGGTTGTTTGTTTGGATGTACTTAGATATATGTGTACGATAACTACTTAATTTTGAAGTCACTTTAAAAAATGAACGATACTTGCGTTTTTTAAATTTTACGGAAGTTATTTATTTTTAAATACGCGAAAATTAAGTTTCCAAATTTGAAGGGTTTTCAAATTGAAGGGTTAAGAAACTCTGAAGAACGTAAAAAATTGTCTTATAGTTTTGACCGAAGGCAACATGGGAAATATATGATGCGCTTATTCTTGATGACAAAAATTGTGACTTACTTAATTAGTTGCTCTAGAGACAGCGTCCCAAAACAAATTTATTTAGGTCAATTTCATCATTTAAATGATTAAATTGTGGTTTTCAAACCCTAGTAAGTATATGATCACTCAGATAATACGAGTATACAGAATTTTGAAAAATGGAATAGAGCAATATCGATCGGCTATACGATTCCAGTATTTAAAATGAAAATCTAAGAGTGAACTCAAGGAGCTTTTGAATGCTATACGAGTATGCGATGAATCTTTTATTTCGATGACTACCGTCAAAGTTGGTTTAATGGGTTTCACCGTGGTCGCATGTGAGTTTTTGTAGAGTCACGCTCAACTGTCTCGAAAAAATGCGCCACGGAGGATAAATTGACAAAAGTAAACGATCTCATATTGTCAGACCTCCGATTGACAAAGAAAGAGTGGAACACACCAGAAGCAAAGTTATTGTCGAACTGTGATAGTAAGCCAACCTGCAGCGTAGAAAGCGAAAATTAAAATATTTTATATTATTTATTAGATTTGGGTCTTATTTTCTGTGGCTGCTGAGCAATTTTTATTTATTTTTTTTATTTTTAATAAAAATTCCTTTCACTCTTTTTCTCCAATAAGACTTGGATCACTTTCTCAAAAACATAATCGTAATCATAACTCAGCCCAACAATTATTAACAATATATATTACACACTACTTTGACGGAGTTGAAAGTCCACTTAAATGCAACTTGCATGCTTTATTTTCTGCACCACCATAACATAGTTGCGTAATAACTTCACAATAGCAACGACTTACTTGGATTCAACGAGTAGGCCAGCTTTTTAGCGAATTGCGATAAGCGTACGGACAAAACGATAACCGGAAAGCCCACCAATTGCACAGGTAGCTGGAAAAGTGGGTCAGGATTTTGTGCCACAGCATCTTCCACGAATTCCAACAATAACACAAACAACACATAAAATGTTGGTATGAGCGATAGTGAGAGGATTTGGCTTAACTTCATGTTTGCTTTTATTTTCTTTAATTATTTTCCTTAATAAAATCTTTTTTTTTTTAATTTGTTTATTTCTTTTTTAAGACACCAAGGCACTTCCGCAATTGCAGCGAAAAAAATTGTAATTAAAGCGAACCGCCAAGCGACACTGGCTTTATATACCGCGGACACACTAGGTGAAATGCGACAAGAGAAATATATGCCTGACTTCCGCGTCTCTTTTCTAGTGTCTGCTTATGTGTTGCTGTATATTTGTTGTTGTACATTTACAACAGCGCTAGAAAATTCCAAAAACGCAACAACAAAAATATATTTTCAGCAAATTTGCAATTAATAAAGCTTTGTATAGCTGCTTGTGTCGTGTGAAGCCACGAACGAGACGCGACTTGTCTTGTACTAGCCAATTGACTGACTGACTTTGGCGCGAGTAGGCTAAGCGCATACCGGCTGACTGGAAAGACACAGCGGTGCAAGCCAAAGCAACGACAAAAAGTAGCACAAGCCAAAACGAAAGAGTTTAGCGAGAAACCCCGAAAATAATTTTGAGTGACGTATTGAAGACAAAAGCAAATAACAAAAAAGTGGTGCGACAAGGGCAGCAGGAGCAAAGTGTAATACGAAAAAAAGTATTGTGTAAATTGAAAAAAAGTTTACAACAACAATAAGTGCAGTAGTTTTGGTAAATAGTTGGCTGTCGCGTTGGCTTTGCAACCAAGATGTGACGCGATGCTGGGATTTCCAAAAACAAAAAACAAACCTTATGAATACAAGAGAAAACATTAAAGTATACCATTCACAAATAAAAAAAATTTGCATACAAAACATTGACTTTGAATATCAGTTTGTATGCCGGCTATATGCTATAGAAGTCCCATTTGAAAACTTTGTGCAGATATTTTAGCAATAATTATTTCTAAGATTCGTGAAGATATCTCGATAAATCCCAAGGTTTTCCATACAAAAACTTGATTCTGATCGTTCAGTTTGTATGGCAGCTATATGCTATACTGGTCCAATATAGGCGGTTCCGACAAATGAGCAGTTTTTTTGGGGAGAAAAGAATATGTGCAAAATTTCAGAGTAATATCTCAAAAACTGAGGACTAGTTTCCGTATATACCGACAGACAGACATGGCTAAATTGACTCAGCTCGTCAATTATTACGTCTGATCAATTATGTATACATTTAATGGGGTCTCCGACGTTTCCTTCTTGGTGTTACAAACTTCATCGAAACGTAATATACCCCATATAGGGCATAGTAAAGGAAGACAGAAGACAGAGTAACGCTTAACAATGCAGCGCCAAGCCCCAGCACGGAGCGTGAGCGGCTCCGGCTACCAAATTTGCCAGCCCATTAACCAACATTGTTTGCAGATCGACATATATTGAATACCACCAAATTCGCGAGTCCGAATTTTTGTTGTAATTTTTTCAACACGTTTTTCATTGCAAACGCGCCTTTGCACTCGTAGTCCAAAACAAAAGCCATAAATCGCAAAGAAATACTAACACAGCTACTGATACACAAAATAAAAAAAAGTAAGAAATAAAACTACAATCAATAACAAAAAACAGCAACAACAAGTGCCACACTCGCCAGTGACCACATTTGTTTGAGCAGTTGAGTCGAGTCACACCGTGGAACGAAGAAGCGCCAAAGCACGCAGGCTAGCAAGCTAGCTGTCTGGCGGTCCGACAGCCAACAAGTGAAAGTGTTTTGGCGCTTATGGCTCGCCTTCTGGCTATTTACACACGTATTATTGCCGCATATTTGTTATTAGGTTGCTTAGTTCGTTTGTTTTGCTTGCCTTTACTGCTTCGGTTCATGGCGTTATTATCACTAATACGCTTTGAGCCCGTTTCTTGCGCCCAGACCTACCTTAAAATAATGCCGCTGCGAACTGTTATTGATATTCAAATGCGTTTATAACGTGATTTGCAAATCGTTATAGGTGAAGCGAGAGCAAAGCCAAGATGTGTAGTTCAGTAAAACTGTTTGGATGTTTTTGCACAGGGTGGTGCGCAAGCAAGAAATATTTATTATAAGGCTTATTACTGATATCAAACATGGCTATCGATAACGATCAGAATTTATCATTAGCCCAAAAATTAAATTTTAAACTCAAGGTCATTCAAATCCTTCAAATATTACTTAATCCCATACAATTAATGCTTGAGAATCAGCGCAGATTTTGGAATACCTTTAACACAGGGTGCACCACAAAACTACTTTGTGACAATTAACATCCTCCAAAACTATTACAATTTTGTGAAAGGAAACTTAAACAAATTATAATAGTGGTCATCACAGGGTATTTACCTCAGAAATATGATCGTAAAATCAGAATATTATTTATATATAAACGAATTATATATTAAAGTGTCAAATGCTACAATGTACTAGAAATTTGCTGTTACTCGTTGAATGAAAGAAACTGAGAAATTTATAACGATTACTTGGACCTGCCTGAGGAGTATAATGTCCTAAGAATAGACCAGCATAAATGTATTCGCTACTTTCTTGCCTAAATAAATTTTCCATATTATAAACAAAGCATAATCAATATTCTATATTTTGTCATATATTTTTTTGCTTATTATTATTTATTATTTTCTGAAATTATAAAATCACTATACATTTTTAGACACACAAACGGAAATGAGCAGACCGTCACACAATATTTGAAGCTAGCTGATCGAAAATTCAGTCGATCAATAGTTTATATTATATATTAATAATATAAATTCAATATTTTTTCTTTTGGATAGAGAAATTTGACTCAAATATATGTACACTAGTAAGTGTTTAGAAAATGTGTACGAATTTCATATCAACGTGCGCCATTGCGTATGAGAAAGGTTACATTATTTTGTATTTATTTCAATGAAGCACAAGTAAAGTAAATAGTAAAAGTTTACTTATTTAATTATCTTAGCTTTATGTTTTATAATTTTTGCATAGTTTTCCCCAAACTAACCACACTTCACACGAACAAATCGACCACTTTATACGGTACGAATACGCTGCCCAAACGCAAACTCACCAGTTCAACTGACAGCTGTAAGTTGTTTCGCTTTTTTTAGTTTTTGCATACGCTAATGCAAACATTGAAATTATATAAACAGGATTTACACATATAAACCTAATATTATATATTATATATAATATATAGTATATATATTTATTAAACATTTGCTTGTATGTATGCAAATTATAATAAGTGTTATGACCACCACATCTCAATAAGGCAGAGTATAGTGATATGTTGTAACACCATCAAGCAATTGCGCACTTATAGGTGCCAACTTGTAACCATTTGGCCTTTTTCGTGAGCAGGCATTAAACTCTGCAGTTAAGGAAAGTAAGTACATTGAGTAATACAACCCAAAATCAAACAATAATAGCAAAAACAAATCGTAATACAAAATTTTAGTATTCAAAACAAACGTGACTGTGGCGGTTTATAGATTTGCTATCATTTTCTAATATTTAAAACGTGAAAAAAATGCAAATTAAATATTTTCAAATATTTTCAAATATTTTAATTGAGATATAAATCAAAAAGCAGGTGTAAGGTTGCTTTATGTAAAATGTATATATATGACGAGCTGAGACGAGTTTTATATGTCTGTCTGTCTGTCCGTATGCTGATATCGGATCACTAAGCGCGTATAGCTGCGATACAAAGTGAAAACAACGTCTTTGTATGAAAAACTTTTTTATTTAACGAAATATCTTGACGAAATTTAACACGAATTATTGGAAACAAATGGTTGAAATTGGACCGTTATGACATATAACTGCTATGCAAACTGGTCGATCAAAATCCAGTTTTAAGATGGAAATTTTTTTATTTTACAAGATATCTTCACCAAATCTCCAATGGAATATTTTCCAAGAAAACGAAACAATATCCGAAGAAATTGTTCAGTTCGAATTACTATACTATATATGTATGTAGCTGCCATAAAATCTAAGCAATCAAAGTCAAAGCAGTAGTAAGCAGGCAGTAATAGCTCTTCATCAGCTTCACGATTTATTCGGGCGTAACTAAATAAAACTAGCGCATTTCTGCCTTTGAAATATACGTAATTTAACAAACAACGAAAAATATAATAAAGAGTTGGCAATCCTGCCTAACCGCGGTAATGGAATATTCACAACCAATTTCTTACCAATTGCCTACACTTTGGTATGCATAAACCGACATTGTTGCTTAAGCTGCTGTCGCTTATTATGTTATTTGCAGTATTTGAAACTCTCATATGCACTCTCGCACTGAATATCTCACCTCTCTCTTTCTCTACATCTCTTTTGCTTGCGCTATTAACAGTATTATTCACTGAAGTACTTTATGTTAAGCAGACACACTTTTCTATGAATTTTACTGTCATGATCACATTTGTTGTCGCGCAGTTAAACGCCATAATCAGATTTTCGTTTTGAGTTTAATGTACATAGGTATATAACAATTGTAGTTATCATTTGTGCGTAGTATGTTAAATAGCACATACATATTTAAATAGGTATTATTGGCATAATTTAGCAATAAAATTTTATGACGCGTCGTTTTAGGAATGACAATTTAGCCAAAACAACAAATGCGCTAAAAGGTGAGGACCACCCACCGAAGAGCGCCAAAACTATAAGCACTATGTCTAAATAATCGATAAAGTAATGGCGTTGTTTTGATAGCATTATTGAATACTAAATATGCAAATCATTTATGAGTAAAGAATTTCGCATTCAGTATTTGTTTTCTATTTATGTTAGGAATAAATGTTTTCACTAATTTCAAGAAAATAATTTTATTTTTGCGCAATTTTTTTATCAAAATGTGGGATCCATACTCGTTTGCATTTACATAACACGAGATGTATATGTGGTACATAATCTATGGGCTTATATACCAATATATTACTAATATTTTAGGCTAATATTTCTATTGTAAAAAATTTAAATATTTTAAACTCATTTGTACAACTAGTTTTTATGAGCTTATGGCAACTCCAAAAGTTAGCAAAATCAACAACTTTAACCACTGTAAACACTACATTTATAAAGACATTTCACTTTACACTACATTCGATTGAATGATACATATGTATATCGTTTTTTTCAGATTCCCCACACAATACTAGCGAACAGCAAATGTTATAACTGAGCTCTGTTATAGCATAAGCAGAGAGTGTGTTGCACTAAATGTTGGAGCCGGTGCATTACAGTAAAATATTTCTCAAAACTACTCTACATACTAGCATATACTTACAACATACAATTTAACAGTATTAGGGCCTATCTAAAGAAAAATTTCAACTGAACATGTTAAAATGTTAACAGAACATGAAAAATACGCTGTTGGTTACGTGCAGCGAACATCTGGTTAGTTGTACCATTTATCAGGAAACAC